TATAGCAAAAAAGAGATTTAATGAAAATAGTGAAATTTTTTTTTAAGAGAAGTTTTTGCTATAGGGTGCATGCGCTCATCAGAAAGAGACACACAGAAAGCGAGAAATTACCCCCTGGGGGGATGGCCACACCACAATCCCTTCTCCTTCATTCTCCTCTCAGGATCTTGGGCACGCACACACATGCGCCCAGCGTGAGTTTAAGCCACCGGGTCCGGGATTCGAACTGCAGTCGGCTACATGGGAGTACAGCGACATAGTCATGACGCTAACTGCTGGTCTCGAAATAAATTTTTAACAAGGAGTGAAAACCATAGTGGAAAAACATTGCCAGCAGACTGCATAGCGGTTATATCACTGGACTCCCACAGGGCAGACTGCAGTTCAAGCCCTAGTGACTTAAAAATCACCTTGGGTGCATGTGCATGTGTGTCCCGGATCCCAGGAGAAAAATGAAAAAGGACCATATTCCCTGGGGAGGTGATTTTTCACTTTCCCTCTCACTGTCTGTCTGTCTGTCTTTCTGTCTCTGTCTCTCTGTCTCTCTCTCTCTCTCTCCAGCGAGCACACACACCCTAAAGCAAAATTAATTTTGTAGAAATTTACCAAAAGAACTCTTGAAAATGAGGTACTGAGTAATAGTATGTCTACCTCAGCTTTATAGCCAATAAAAGATCTTTTCTTTTTCTTTTCCTTTTTTTTTTTTTTAAGAGAGATTTTTGCTATAGGGTGCGTGCACTCACCAGAGACAGAAAACCAAGAAATCATCCCCTGGGGGTGTGACCAAGCTACAATCCCCGAGAGGTGTTAGTCCTCAGAAAACAGAGCAAATCACTGCATTCACACAGGAGGAATGACTGCAGTGAAATGTCATGGATCTGGCACTGTTGAAGAGGAGAGTAAAATATTAATTTCCCACACTCATGCACTTTCTAGTATAAGCACTAAAACAACAAAATGAATAACTTCAAAACATGAGAAAAAGGGATGTGAAATCAAAAGGCAAAAAAGGAAAGAAAAAGAAAACAAGTAAAAAATGTCAACTTACGATTTAAAGATTTAAATCAGCTTTATTCGTGATTCTAGAATTGAGCAACACTTTATTCCATAATAGTAACTGTTTTAGTGAACCCAGCACAAGAGTTAGGATCAAAGACAAAGAAGGGCTTAAGAGAGTAGAAAAAGAAAAGCAGATTAGTCATTTCAAAGTCACTTTCCTTGTAAGGCAGGGACAGGATGATAACAATAGAAAAGTCAATGATTAGTTAACAGCTTAATTCAGGGTAGTTTTTGTCATAAGGATTAAAGGCAAAGGGAACTTCATTATCACCATTATTAAAACTGGCCTATTTGGGAAATGTAGCTGTTGCCTGACACCGATATTTCAAAAGGACAGATCAGATAACAACTTAGTTTTGGTCTGGTGAATAGAACTTTAGCATAAGTTACCCCATTTTGGCTTCATCTGTTGGGTCTAGTACAAGAGCTTAGCTTTATTTAAGAAAATAAAAGCAAAAATAATATAAACCCAAATAGATCAGTAATTTAAAAAAATGTAAATCAGGAGCCTGCAGGTGGCATGGTACCAACCACAGTTCAAGTCCTGGACCTGGAGGCTTGCTTTCTTACTTTCGTTTTCTCTCTCTCCCTCTTTCTCTGGTCAAATTAAAATAAATAAAGTTAAATAAAGTAATTCTTTAAAAAAAAAAAAAAACTGTAAATGAACTATATGTTTCAATTAAAAGACAATATAAGGGGGCCAGCAGGTGGCACAGTGGTTAAAGCACTGGGCTCCCACATGCACAACTATGGTTTGAGTCCCAGACTTGGCAGCTTGCTTTCTCTCTTTCCAGTAAGTGCACATGCCCTATAACATATTTTAAAAATAGTAATAATAAATAAAATTGAATGAATAAATTTTAAGGGAAGAAAAAAGACAATATAGGCCTAGCCATGGTGATGCAGATGGTTGTGTGCTGATCTGCAATGCTAAAAGCCATATCACCAACGTTAGGTTCAGATCCCAAGTTCACCTAAAACATGTTGGTCTTGGCTGGCTGAAGGGCTGAGGAAAAAAGATTGTGGTGTGACTCTGTTGAAAGTGCCTCTCATAACATTTTTTTTTTTAAAGACAATACAGGCGCCAGCAGGTGGCATGGTAGTTAAGGCACTGGACTCTCACAGGACCAACTGCGGTTCAAATCCAGACCTGGCAGCTTGCTTTCTCACTTTCTCTCTCACTCCCTCTCTCTGTCTGGCTGTCTCTGGTGATAATATGCAAATTAAATAATAATAAATAATATTAAATAATTCTTAAAAAAAAACATAAAATGTGATTTTAACTCTGTATGTGTGTGTGCATCTGTGTGTACATGCTTGCCAGAGGTGCATTCACTCAGTAGAGAAAGAAAGCACTCCCTAAATGAGGTATTGGTCACACCACAACCCTTTTCCTCCATTCCTTCTTCCTATGAAGATTTTGAACATATACATATATGCATGCCCGGCATGTTTTTCAAGCTATCAGGGCCAACATTCGAACTGTGGTTGGCCACGTGGGATCTGGCTCCCTTTACTGCACCGCAGGAATGGTCCTACCTTCAAGAATCTTGCTTGTGACAATTATTTCTGTAATGTTTGCCAAACGGTGATTTATGTTCATCATCCCTCCTATATCCATTATTTGAATTCTACAGTAAGGAAGAACTTTTCCCTGTCGCCCTTTATTTATTCAGTTAACCATGTATATCTTTAAGAAATTATGAATATTTACTTTATTCTGTGAGTTATAATGCTTTAACACCATTATTTATTTTGGACCCAAATTGTCCTAGACTTGGCCATTGAGATCTTTTCCATTTGAGTTCTGTTTTTTCAATACAATCTCTTCCTTAACCAAGTGATCAGAGTTAAGATCACTGGTCTGAAGCATATGAACACCCTGCACCTCCTGGTAGGCTATACTGGGAAGATATTCTTCTCAAAACTGCCTAATTTTAATTTAGTCATAAGCATATCTTAGACAAACTCAAACTAAGAGTTTTCTACAAATTATCTAGCCAGTAGTTTCAGAAATGCAAAGATCTCAAAGGTTAAAAATTGAAAATACTCCCAGATAGAAGAGATTCAGGGAATCATCAAATGCAATGTATAACCCTGAGCTGGATTCTGACCAGAAGAGGGGTAAGTGGGACAATCTGTGCGATTTCAATAAAAATCAGTAGAGCCATTAAATAGTTCATACTGATGTATATTTCCTGGTTAGATAATGGTTTTACAGTTAAGATACTAACACTTGTGGAAATCAAATAAAGGGAATACTGACATTCTTTGTGCTATATCTGTACTTTCTTTATAAATCTGAAATGATTTCAAAATGAACATTTTTATTACATTTAAGTATGAAAAGTAAAAGAACACTACTTTCTTTTTTGGAGACATTTTCACTGTAGGGCACGTGCGCTCACCAGACAGACAGAGACATAGAGACAGAAAGCGAGAAATCACCCCCCAGGGGGGATAGTCATGCCGCAATCCCTTCTCCTCCATTCTCCTCTCGGGATCTTGGGCACGCACGCACACGCGCCCGGCGTGAGTCTTAAGCCACCGGGTCCGGGACACAAACCGTGGTCGACTACGTGGGAGTCCAGCGACATAGCCATTATGCTAACTGCTGGTTCCCAAGAACACTACTTTCTTACAAGACATTGAGGGAAATCTTCATGATCTTGGACTAGGTAATGCCTAAGACAGAATGCATAAATTGCAAAAAGATATTCTATGGACGATATTTGTTCATCAAAAGATCTATAAACAAAAAGGGAAAAGAGAAGCTATAAACTTGGAGATTTGCTTCACATACAGTCAGTAAAGCTTAGTATTCAGATCATATAAAGAATTACAAGTCAATAAGAAAAGATCTAACAAATAGGCAAGACAAATCTAGCAGCTCAAGATCAGGACCAGATAATCTTATTAGTAGTCAGAAAATACAAATCAAGCCTTTTTCTGTACTTTCCAGTTAGATATATTTTTTTTAAGTTTCAAAGGTAGCAAACAACTATTACTCATATTTCTTAGGTATTAATTTTATAATTTAAAAATTTTTATTTTAAAGGCACATATATCAATATTCACAAGTGCATGGACTATATTAGAAGAATTATAAGACACTGGTAACAGTAGAAACTGGGAAACTGGGAAATAAGACAATGAAAGGTCAGAAAACGTTCTCTTTACTATATCCCTTTCTGCATCTTTTTAATTCAGTACCATGTTTATCTATATAAAAACAAATATAATTTTGGGGAAAAAAAAAACACTGTGAAACATAAAGGATTGTTAAATTTCATATTTAATCTTTACAAACTGTTAATGTACATGTATGGAAAGAGTAAACAGCTGTGGAGCCAGCCAGTGGCAGGTGATTAAAACAGTGGGATCCCACATAGCTGACTGTGTGGTTAGAGTCCCAGGCCCAGGACCTTTAAAAACACACTAGGCTGGGGTCACCAAGTGGTGTGGTGATTAAGGTGTTGGAATTCCATGTGGCCAACCAGTTTGAGTCCCAGACATAGTGGCATGAAAATCACACTGGGCACATGTGCATGCATGCCCAAAATCCCAAGAGGAGACTAGTGGAGAAGGGATCACTATGTGGCCATTCCCCCTGGGGGTAATTTCTCACCTTCTCTCTTCTCTCTCCTCTCTCTGGAGAGGACACATGCCCTATAGCAAAAACCTTTTAAAAAACAATACAATAGAACACCAGGCAACTGTACATGTTAGAAAATCCCAACAGTAGAATGGAGGAGAAACGATTGTGGTATGACCATACTCCCTGAAGAATGCTTTCTCATTTTCTCTCACTGTCAAGATCTCTCCCACAAGTGCACACAAAAGTAAAAAAGAAAGAACTAACAGCTATGAAGTAGAAATCTTTTTCTCTAGTGCCAAGTGTTATCTGTCAAAATTCCTGCACATCAAATGGAGTACTACAGTCCTGGGAGATGACAGTCTTGTCTGTGAGACTTTGTACTGATTTCTGCTCTGACAATGACTTTAGACATGCTGTTCCTGGCTGCTCATTTGCTTGTTGTTCAACTCACTGTTTATGCCAGCAGCTCACTAAATAAGAGTTAGGTGTATGCTCTCCAAGTGTGACATTTCATCTAAGGGACAGACCAACCTCCCTGTGGACTAGCTTCTCATCTTTTGTGTCCAGGATACACTGAGTGTGATGATGAGACACTGGAAGCCGGTGCCCAGGTCCTCTATGATGCCATCTAAACACTGCCCTGTTCCCAGTTCTGCATTCTTCATTAAAGTAAACCTAGGTACTAGGTGAGCCTGCAGCATCTTATGAGTTTGAATATGACCAATCTGGTAGTCTTCAGTATGACAATAAACTCAAGGACTACAGCACTTTGTTTTTTCACAGTACAATTAGCTGAAATAATACTGAGCTACTTACTTATTAGATCCTTAGGGAACACAAGAACACAAATACCATTTTTCAAAAACCAGTGGTAGAATTTAGCTGTGCTATGGTCACCCACACAATTAACTGCCAAAGCCTCTATGCCACTTGTCTGTTAGACTGCTCATAGCAAACAAGTGTCTGTAAACAAGGAAGTTACACAGCATTTGTGAAGATTTTACTTAGAAAAAAGTATTTTGAAAAATATTTAGCTGGAGTATATTCATGGACTAATATATTAGTTCAGATTAATCAGGCTTCCTAGTTTGTTTCTTAACCATTCCATTCTACAGAGCATAAATATGAAATGCTTATAAAATATACTTCATTTGAAATGCTTTAAAATCAAACAATTTAAACACAAAACCATACATTATGGTCTCATGAATACATTTATAAAATGCTGTAATGAAAAATTAACAGCTTCACATAAGTAGATAAAACTATACAAACACTTATCCAACAAATGACATTTTAAACAGAGGAAGAAAGTACAAACCATGTCAATTAGTGTTATTCTTTCAGTTGTATGGCATGAGATTAAAAAGCAAATTTTCAAATTTTAGTAGTGGTATTAAAATTAAGTTACTTTCTCAACTGGATTAAAACTAGTACTTTATCTTTAAGGTACATAAGTGGTTAAAAAATTTTGAGTTTCCAGTCAGCAATACTACCAAAATATGCTGAGAGTCCAAACATAAGTGTGTAACAGAGGTGCTTGTAATGTTCACACTGTTGGTGGACATATGTCATAAACTGGACTTCCTGGCTCTATGATAAGTGTAGAAAGTTGTGATTCTTATAAGAAAGTCACATAAAGTCCAAGAGAAAACGTATTTGACAACAACAAAAACACTAAGCTGTGAACTTTTGTTTCTTAAAAAGAAAATACACACACAACAAAGCAGTGTAAGTCAATAAGAGAAGGTCCATTAAGAGAAAATTCACTTTTAAAAGTCTCACGGCTATAAATCATCTCCCTTCTCAGCTGAAAGGATGAAGCACAATTGCCACAACTTTGTTACAGACAAGAATCCAGCAGGTAATTCCGACACCACCTGAAAATAAAGAATTCATATAAGGGAGCAGGCTAACAGTTCTGCCCACATTTCTTTGCTACCTTACACTCAGAGGAAAGAAGAGTATACTTCAATCCATTCCAAGGAAGGCTAAGCTTAGAAAGACTTAAGTATGTGTTCCATGAGTTTGAATCTGGCAGGCATTCTATACACAAAGCTGACTTCTTTACTACGCATGAATTACAATGAACAATGAAAACTCGTTTCGATTTCAATTTTTTTTTCTTTCTTAAAAAAGCATTATAAACAAAGTGGTGCTTTTGCTTTTCCATGCCCTTTCTTTTTTCTTTTTTTCCTGTCCATAGAGTCCATGCACTAGCCAGAGACAATGAGAGGAAAAGTGAGAAATTACCCCCGAGGGTAGATGGCCACACCACAATCCCTTCTGCACTCTCCTCCTGAGATTTTGGGCACACATGCACATGGGTCCAGAACTTGAACTATAGTCAGCCATGTGGGCATCCAGCACCTTAACCACTATGCTACCTGCTGGCCCCTTTCCACACCTTTCTTGGCCCACCAATCATAGAGAACAGGCTGCTAGAGTGGTCAGCAAATGCAGAGGTTCTGGCCTGAACTCAGCTATAGCACAGGAAGTTGGGGAGGGGATGGGGGCATGTCTCAATTGTAAGTCTCTAAAATAGTCATTCCTTTTGATACAGTAATTCTTCCCAAGAATAATCATAACTCACAACCAAAAACTGACTAGGATATATTTTGCAGTATTAACTTTGACACAAAAATCAGGACCTGGGATGCCAGCAGATGGCATAGCAGTTACATCGTGGACTTCCACGTGGCTGACCATGGTTCAAGTCCTAGACCTGGTGACTTTAAAATCATATTGGGAATGTAGGAGAAATCACCCCATTCTCACTTATCCCCTCACTGAGTCTGTCTGTCTCTCTCTCTCCAGCTAGCACATATATCTAAGGAAAAAAAAAAAAAACCTAATTAAAAAAAAAATCAGGACCTAAATAAATAAATAGCAAATTCTCACACATTCAAACAAAGAACCATTGAAAATTCTTTAATAAAGAAGCTTAGCCATACAGTGCCACGGTCTGACTATCTGCATTCCCCAAAATTCTTATGTTGAAACCTTGACCCCACAGTAATGGTATTAGGAGGTGAGACCTTAGGGAGGCGAGAAGGTCATGAGGGTGGAGCCCCAGTGAATGGAAACAGTGTCCTTATAAAAGAGGCCCAAGGGTACTTGTTCTTGCCTTCTTTTCACCATGTGAGGACAATGAGATATCACCATCCATGAGCCAGAAAATGGGCCTTTATTGGACATCAAATCTACCAGCATTTGATCTAGGATCTCCCAGCCTCTAGAACTGTAAGGGATGAATTTCTGTTATTTATAAACTACTCAGTTTATGGTATGATGTTATGCTGCTTAACGATATATGAGAAGAGGCTTAAAGTAAAAAGGGGGTATGAGATGATATATGCCAGGAGCCTGCAGGTGATGTGGTGGTTAAGGCACTGGAAAACACAGTTCAAGTCCTGGACCTGATGCTTAAAATCACACTGGGCACCGGTGCATGCGTGCCCAAAATCCCAAGAAGAGAATGGAGAAAAAGGTACTGAGGCAGTCCATCCCCACTGGGTGGCAATTTCTCACTCTTACCCTTACTGTTTGTCTCTCCCCAGCAAGGGCATGTGTCCCATAGCAAAAATCTTTATATATAAATATATATATATATATATGTATGTATGTATATATTAAAAAAGAGATGGTAGGAAGCAGCAGATGGCGGAGTGGTTACATCACTGGACTCCCACATATTGACCACAGTTTGAATCCCAGACTCAGCAGCTGGGATTGCACACACACAGGGTGCGTGTGCATTCTTAAAGATATATGAGAAGAGGCTTAAAGTAAAAAGGGGGTATGAGATGATATATGCCAGGAGCCAGCAGGTGATGTGGTGGGCCTTTATTGCCCACCCAAAATCCTGAAAGGAAAATGGAGGAGAAGAGACTGCATGGCCATCTTTCCTTGGGGGGGTGAGGGGTGTTAGGGTGACTTCTCACTTTCTGTCTCTCTGTCTCTGTCTGGCAAGTACACGCACTCTACACCAAAAATCTCTCTCTCAAAAAAAAGAGATGATATATGCCAGATGACCTTGACGATATCAAAATAAATGAAGGAAAAAACACTGGGAAATATCTATCACAAGATTAAAAGAGGTTATTGGTAGCTAATAGGATGTTTTTTTCTTAAACTGTTCCTATATTCTTAATCATTCTACAGGAGCTTCTTCAACAACCAAAAGAGATTCTTTTAAAAATAAAAGAATGGCCAACAGCAGTAAGTGCTATGGAGAGGCCAGTCATAAAAAGGATTGAGAAGACACACAGTTTGGGTACTATGGTGTTTCAATAAATGGCTTATCAGACTCCAGGTACCAGGCATGGAATCTAGAAGCAGATCTGGGACTGAATTCCAACTCTGTTCCATAACACTGTGGTGACACTGGACAAGTTACATAACTTCTCTAGACCTCAGATTCTCCACTCAAGGCTTACTGGAGGCTGGGACACCCAAAATCATTGCTCACTCAACGGGTGCTGAGAATGATGTGGAGCCACTAAATCTCTGTCACAATACTTTGCAGAAGTTGGTCCACACTTACCCACTCTACTGTCCAGCAAATTCTTACCTGCTACTCTGGTAGGAAAGGCCACCAGGCGGTCCAGTGGGGTTATCCATTTACTTGGCACCACAGCCACTGGGACAGAATAATAATTCCAAATGAGCGAGATCATCAGAGCTGCCTGGAAAGACATTTTTGGTGAATGGAAACAACCTGCCAGTCACATAAACAATGATCACACAAAGAAATATGGGCAAACGTAAAAGAAACTAAAGAAATTCTCCAGATTGATGACTTCAAGCCCTGTCAACAAAGCCTTTGCAGCCAACAGACACATATGCATAACAACTAATTCCCACTGTTGAAACCTTAAAATAGTCTAAAGACAAGCTTATGAGAGTTCTAGAACATGCCACCAACAAGTAAGCAAGCCTTCTCATCTGAACCCATATTTTTCTGTTTAAATATGAATGCTATATACACATTACATAAATTAGTAACAAATTCAGCAAGGTCTGTCATGACACAGGAGTTATTTTTTCATTAGGTACTTCCTTTGAGTAGCTGGACTATATGCTAAATAGTCCTTCTTAGTGATAAAAGCAATCTTACACCTCCAAGTTCCTTGAAAAACTAACTTACTCTCCATGCAGACAGTACTAGCATGAGCACACAGAGGCAAGCCCTCTAGAAGTTTCAGTGGTGGGTGGAGGATTGACAGTTTTCATTCCCTCCCAGCAGCATTCTCTGTTTTCTGTCCCCTTCATGGCCTTGAATATGCCACTCAAATGAGCAGACCTCAAAAAGGGCACCTGGCTTGTATCTCTGTGAAACCTTTCTCATATCAAATCACAGCACTGCAGTATTGATCTACTTAAATATACTCCAAACCTAGATATTTTTGGAGGGAGGAAGGCATAGTAATTAGCTTGAATCCTTCACTGCAGGACAGATCACACATGATACTGAAACTCAGAGATGACTTAAGGAAGCCACTGCATGGTGCACACTACAGCGCACTCACAGCCTCCAGTAAGCAGCAGAAGTTGTAGCAGTCCCATGTAGAACTGAAGGAGTAAAACTCCAGAAAATAACTTTGGGAGCTGGGCTAGCCCATAGCCTAGTGGTTAAGTGAGCCAGATTCTGCATGGCCAAATTCTAGGCCTGGTTGCTCGAAAAACACACTGGGTGTGTGTGCATGCCCAAAATCCTGATGAGTTGGAGAAATGGAGAAGGGACTGCAATATGCCCCATTGGAAATGTTTCCTCCCTCTCCCCCTCTGTCTCTCTGGCAAGAACAGGCACTCTCTGGCTATTAAAAAAGAAAAATATTCCCTACTGAAAGGATAGGAAGTGCTGTTCAAGCATATCAGTAAAGTAATGGCCAAAATTATTGATGATCTTAGAAAATGTGATGTCTATATAATAAGACTTCAACCCCCAGGCCTTTAAAACCACACTGGAATAGACAACCTGAAAGATCTCCCAAGAAGTTTCTTCAGAGATTATTTGCCAGAAAGTCCCAATCCTTAACAACCTTAATCAGGAAAGAGGATTTGTGCTAGCATCACGTATAAATTCACAGTGCATCCAGAGTGACATGCTGGCAGGACATGGGACACAGAAACATGAAGTGGTAAACCCTGAGTTCTCAGCCCTGGATTGTGCACGCCACATGGCTCTGGAGGCCAGTCAATTAGCAGCTTCAATGATCCAGGTGACTCCACAGTGTACTTACTTGCAATATGTAGAAAGCAACACTTATAACCCATTTTATTTTGGCTAATTGAGCTGTCCGTGCTTTCACTGAAAGGAAAAACAGGATGGAACAGTATGTCAGTCCTGAAAAATTAAGAAAATATTCACATGCACAGAAATGTTATTATTTTCTCCTATAAAAATACTTTGATTATAAATGGGACAATCACTCAATATATTTAGAAAACAAAAAATAAACATTTTTAGAAGTCACCATCTTGGTACACCATTATTCAAAACAGAATCCCATTCAGACATGAAATCTGACAGACTTCATTTTAAAAGCCCTCAAAATTACTCATCTAAGTCAGAGATTCTTTTCATAATATATTTACTGACTGCCAACAGGACACCATGTTCTTACCTATTTCCCAGTCTATACAAAACAGAAATCCCTAAGTGGGAATCTAGCTTGTCTTGGGCTGGCCTGGCCTCCTTCACGTGCCTTGCTAGCCTCAAGGACAGCTCTGTCCCTGTGCACACGCCAGCAGAGTCTCCTAGCACATGGGCTGCACTGTGAAAACGGTCTCCATCACAGGAGACTGCATCTTGAAGTCTAAGCTCAGATAAGAATACTGCTGTGCATTTTCCAGAGAGTGGAGCCAAAGCTCCTAGGAATCCACTATGAGATTATTTTTCTGTGCTTTTCAGAAAAGTGAATTTTAAAAAAACAACAAAAATCTACAATAATAAGTTTGCTCTGAAAAAAATACTAAGAAAATCCTATATGTTTCTTTGTTTAAAAAACCAAAGTTAGCCAGCTAAATAAGGAGAAAGTAATCATTATTATTGCCTTCTTCTAAAAAACCTAGATGTTTCTGTCAACATTATAACATCCAAGAGCAGACTCTATGATTCCTCCTGTAAAGACTTCTCTACTAATCAGCTCTCATGAAGCTTTCCAAACTACAACAGACACGGCACCATGTGTCTTCAGCTTGTCCGTCATCTTGTTGATCTTCCTCTCCAGTCTGGCGTATCTGGCAAACTCATCCATCATGTTGACCGTGGCGAGCTCTTGCTTCATGTCCTGAATCTCCGCTCTCATCTGCGATTCCTGCTCTGCGTCCTTCTGCAGCACCCTGGACATCTGACAGAGCAGATAGCTGGCATCAGCACCTTGCCCTGCCAGCTACAGTAGGGTCCCCGGTCCCCCCACTTCCTTGCTGTCCTGAGAAATACAGAGCCTTGGCAACTGTGACTCAGCCAGCTGCATGCTTTCCCTGCAGGCCTGAATGCAAGGTGGGTGCTTGAACATTCTCAGACACTAATAAAAGCTGATTAGGTTGTTGCTCAAAAACACAGACACAATGATCCTGTGGCGAAACATATAGAAACCAGTCTCTGCCCTGAGCCAAATTATCAAATCCCCATATACAGTCCATAACCAAACCCCACTCAAGGATGGTGGATACCCCTGGGTAAAACATCCCTTTTTCTCACCATTCATCTTGGGAACTGCTGAGCATCTGCAAGTTCCTCAAATCAATGCTTTGGACCCATAACCCTGGCTTGGAGTGCTTCTTTTTGGAAAGAAGCACTTTCCTTGAAATCCTAGCCAGAAACTCTTCTCTAAATGGTGCAGGGCATTCAGTTGAGGCAACTCCAGCCAGGAGTTCTGCAGGACAGAACAGGTATACATACCTTCCTTGCCACCTCCATTCAAGATCCTACTCCTGTTTCAACTGGGCAAGCTGCCCTTACCTGCATGGCTAGCCTCTGCTGTCTTTTCCTGCTCCCTACAGCTAGGGAGGACCTCTATCATGTTTGAATTACTATTCAAATTATATTTCTTTTTTTGCATATATGTCCATGGATTGCTACGGTATCAATGTATACATGTTTCACTGTAACTATAAAATTGCAATTATAAAATGAAAACCAATTCTATCACCAGAGCTGTCTTCAAGGACGGAATATGCATCTTCTTCCCTACTGAGGGGCACAGTCTTAGAGACAGTGTGGCACAGAGCACCAGTGAGAGGAGGGGGTCCAGAAAGGACTGTCAGAGCCCAAGCACAGTGAGAGGACCTTCCCACACAGGAGCACACTGGCAGGGGCTCGGAATGAACACAGTAGGCTATAGGGATCCCAAGACAGAGCAGCCTGGCTCAGGAGTCGGAATCTAAGCAGGTTAAGGGGAGGGATGCCTAAGGCAAAAATGAACCCCACCCAACACAGTTTGGTCTGAGCAGGACAAGGATGGCAAGTAGCTGTGTGGGGTCAGTAGAGGAGCTCAAAGATTAGCTACAAAGGACAGATCAGCCAGGGTAAACACATTGAGAGAAGAGGTGCAGCCTTCACTATCAGAGATATTAGAAATATGTACCGAGAGAAAAAAGGAAAGGAAAGGAGAGGTGAGGAGAGGAGGGGAGGGAGGGGAGGAGAGGGGAGGGGAGGAAGAGAAGAGAAGAGAAGAGAAGAGAAGAGAAGAGAAGAAGAGAAGAGAGAAAAGAAAAGAAAAGAAAAGAAAAGAAAAGAAAAGAAAAGAAAAGAAAAGAAAAGAAAAGAAAAAAGAATATGCACTGAGAGAACCATGATGAGTGTGTGAAGTCGGTGTAAAATTGGAGGTGTGGGCAGGAACTCAGGTCTTTCAGAGAAACAAACACAAACACACCTTAAGAGGCGCCTCTGGGCCAGCCTGGCCTCTCTTCTGCACACCTGTGAATTCAGCATCCAGCAGGCTGGAGCTCGGGGGAGGATAGTGGCCACCAGGTGGTGCCCGTCAACCAGCCTCGAGGGGCCTGCTGGGCCTAAGTAGGGCAAGGGCGCCAGGTCCTGGGGCAGCGACCTGGGGTGGGGTGGAAAGAAGGCAACTGCCGCTCCACAGAGCAGCGAACCCGCCTAATCCAAATCCTACAGTGTGCACACAGCATCGCCCAAATGCCCCTGCCAAAGCTGTGCAAACCCAGGAGGTGTCATTCTGCACAGTCGCTGCCTATATAGCCCTTGGAAACCACAGTTCCTCAAGTCTGTGAAAGCCCTCCTGACCAAGGGAGACCCCAGTTGTGCCAAGTAGATGAGAGCATGCTCTGAGCTAGGTCCTTTGGCGGTAAGGACACTACTGAGGACACAGGAAACCCGAGGGCAGTGTCATGTCCTGGAAGCTGCACCAGGACAAGGCTTTGTCCACACACCCAGGTCAGAAGAGGGTCAGCTCAGACTAATACTTTTATTTCAAACAGTTTAGGAAACACCGACTCTGCACCATACCATATGCGTAACTCTCCTGCATGTTGGTGTTTGTTAATAAAGAGACAAAAAGGGATTGTGTGTCTAAAATGTACCTGGCACACAGCAAGGCACAGTGGGCGGGTCGTTCCGCAGCTCTTGGGTCCCCTTCGCCTAAGCTACCACACAGCAGTGCAACTGCTCAGAGCCAGTAGAGTCCAGGTTCCTGGCCACCTGCTGAAGCCCCCGCCAGCCCCTGCACAATGAGGTGGGTGGGTGTGGGGCAGGAGAGCCACCAAGCCCATGCCTGCGCAGTGTGTTCACAGTTGTACATCCAGCAGTCCTTAACCCCAGCTCAGCTTGTGGTGCCCCAAAATTTTAGCTGAGATGTACTCCAGCCCAATCCATTCTGAAGAAGAAAATAAGAATGGGCCAAATTCCTTTAAAAATCACAGAATCATCTCTCAAATGCAGGGAATCTAGATGTTGCTTAAAGCTGGCCACATGGGAATCCAGGTCTTAACCCACCATACCACCTGCTGACCCAGTAAGTGGACAAATCTAGAGAGGAAAGAAGGATGGACCTAATTCTTTCTGTCCACTCCTGTCAGAAGCTAACCACTCCCTGCCTGAGCTCATAACGTCTTCCTGCCAAAAATACCCTCAGATCCTGCTCAGATTTGGTACACTCTCTGCCAACAGGCTAAATGCCATTGCTAGAACTTGGGTCACTCTGGGTAGAATGTAAGGCCCACTCCACCCTCATTTACTGGCTGAAAACTCCCAGACCCACCTAAAAATTAATTGATGGCATGATGACAGGCAGAGCCCATTCCTGTCCCTCTGTGGAATTCAGTTAGAAAGCCAGGAACAACCGACTGGGGTCAACCACTCAGTGTGACCCTGAACATGGGAGAGGAACCATTCCATCTTGGGAGGGACCAGGCCCCTGTGAAGCTCCAGAACTTGAATAGTCCCAGATGCTTCCCCTAGCAAGGACCAGGACCAGGACTCAGAGCTAGCCAAGATGCAGACAACTTTCCAGGCCCTCCAGCTATGCCTACTCCTGGTTCTGGTCCCTGCTGCAATGAACAATCCTCCAGCTTCCCTCAAGCAGCTTCTCAGCTCAAGGGTCTAAAGCGGGTCCTATGAAATGAGCTGTGTCATCCCCTTCCAAACTAATACCGTAAGGCCATCCTCACACCCAGACCACAACAGAGACTAAGCAACAGCTCTATGGGGTAAGGCATCTTAAGATATCTACAGAGAGGCCGAGACCAGCAGTTGGTATAATGGCTATGTCACTGGACTCCCATGTAGTCAACTGTGGTTGGAGTCCCAGACCCGGTGGCTTAAACTCATGCCGGACACGTATGTGTACATGCCCAAGATCCCGAGAGGAGAATGGAGGAGAAGGGATTGCGGCGTGGCCATTTCCCCTGGGGGCTGTTATCGTCCGCTCTTTCTTTTCCGCATAAAAAAAAAAAAAAAAAAAAAAAAAAAAAAAAAAAAAAAAAGTCTCAAAAAAAAAGGAAGAAAAATAAAAGATACCTACCGAGAGGTCCACAAGTGGCATGGTGGTTAAGGCACTGGACTCCAACATGGCTGATGTGGTTTAAGTTCCAGACCTGACAAGACTCACTCTCCCTCTCTGTCTCAGTCTCTCTCTGGTAAAATTAAAAAATAATAGTAATAGGGATCAGCAGATGATATAATGGTTATGTTGCTCGACTCCCAGGAAGTCAACAAAAGTACGACCTGCCAGACCTGGCAGCTTGAAATTCACACCAGTTGTGTATGCACGTGTGCCCAAATTTTCCAAGAGGAGAATAGAGTAGAAATTATTGCGGCACGGCCATCCCCCACGGGGGGTAGTTTCTTGCTTTATGTCTATCTCTCTCTCTGGTGAGCACATGTGCCCTATAGCAAAAGAACTCTCTCAAAAGAATTATTTTATTATTACTAAATAATTCTAAAAAAGGAACATGTAAGAAAATTAAAAATAATACAGACCAGCAGATGGCATAATGGTTACATCACTGGACTTCCACATGGTAGGGCATGGTTCAAGTGCCAGACCCAGCAGCTTCAAACTCAAGTCCCAGACTCAGGTGCATGTGCATGCATGCATCCCAAAAGGAGACTGGAGGAAAAGGGATTCCATCATGGCCATGCCCCCAGGGGTAATTTCTCATTTCTCTCTCTCTCACACTGGTGAGTGTATGCACCACATAGCAAAATCTCTTTAAATAAACAAGTAAATAAAACACCTACAGAAGCAGATCCTGCAGGGTCCACCTCTGGCCTATGTCCTCTAAAGAAAAAGGGAGGTGGCCACTCCACAGGACAAAAAGTGAAGAATGACTTTGAAAATGTTAGATCAAAAAATTGCAATTAAGCCCCTGAAGGCTGCCTTTTCCATGCCCACTATCTGCAAAACAGGGTCTGTAAGAGAGAAGCTTCCAGAACCCTACCCTGCCGGTCCTGGGGGTCTGCAGAGTGCACATGCCCAACCCAGCATCTTTGTCTCCCTTCTTTTCCTGCTCTTACAGCTAAAGAAGTCCTGGATCACCTACTAATGAACGAGGCTCTCTCATCTGTGTGTCCTGTGGCCAGCTTCAAGAGAAGGGATGGAACTTCAGGAAAATCCCAACTACATCACCAGGGACTGGGTATCCTTATCAGGCATCCTATACCCAGCCCAAAAGTCCTCTGAGATTGCCTCTCAGGACCTCGCAAGGTTCCACTGGACCAAGGACTTCTGATTCTGCAGACTTCCTAAAAGGCCTCATATCAGGGGATCACCAAGGCCTTGACTTACTAGTGGGCTAGGTGCACTCCCTTCCCAGAAACTTCAGGAACTTGGTAAAGAAGGTTATAATCTGAAGTACCTGGGCAGGGTCCCATTCCTGAGGACACTGAATGAATTCCAATCCAACCTTCTGTTTCTTCATTTCTTTTTTTTTAATTATTTATTTAATTCCATTTGTTATTATTTTTAAAATTTGACCAGAGAGAGGAAGGGAAAGCAAGAATGCAAGCCGCTAGGTCCGGGCACGAACTGTAGTTGGCCATGTAGGAATCCAGCGCCTTTAACCACCATGCCACCTGCTGGCCCCTTGTTTCATTTTATTAGAGAGAGATTTTTGCTATAGGGTGTGTGTACTTACTGGAGACAGAGAAAGAGACAGAAAGAGAAAAAGCAAGAAACTACCACCCAAGGGGAATGGTCACACTGCAATCCCTCCTCCTCTAGGGATTTTGGGCACGCACACACATGCGCCCAATTTGAGTTTCAAGCCACCAGTTCCAGGACTGAAACCATGGTCGACCATGTGGAGTAGAGCACCTTAACCACCACGCCTCCTGCTAGAACACAACCTTCTGTTTCTTGAGTCTTTCCTGCTGGTTTCCTCAAGTCAGAAGCTGCAATAGGGCAGCCTCTAATGAGCCAGAAGGGGCCTCATTTTACCTGACACAGGACCAGCATATTCCCTACAACTTTCACAAACCCTCACCACAAGCCCAGTGACCAAGCCAAACAGATCTCTATTAGTATTCCCTGTTTTAAGACCTATTATGGGTTATATTATACTAGGATAATTGTATGTTATCTGTCTGAACCTGACTAATAACCCCAACAGTGTTATAGCCAAGGAGAAATGGGTTTAAGAAAGCTAACTAGTGTGTGGTTAGAGAGGTTACACAGCCTGTGGAGGTGGTATGGGATATGGGCGCAGATCCAAGGACAAACCCAGAGCCCTTGCATCTAAATAATAAATGCTCACCATGGGGTTCAAGGCTCATGGATATCTAGGCTACAGCTGTAACCCCTTAATGACAGTGCACTAGGTGCAAAGCACATGTTTAGTGTAGGCAAAGTAATAGAGTCTAAGATGATGTGAGGTCTTACTTAGTGTAAGACCTATACGCCAGGCCTAAGTTCCTCGTGAACAATTCAGAGAGGAAGACAACACCAACACAGCCTCTTGAAGTAACTGAGATTATTTTTCTTTGGTACCAGCATAAAGTGAAATGGGATGAGGGTAGGACAAACCCTGAAGCCTAGTGGTTAAGAAATCCAGATCCCACATGGCCAATTCCAGTTAAAATCCTGGCCCCAGCGGCTTGAAGAACACACCAGGCATGGTTGCATGTGTGCCTTAAGCCCCAATACAATGAAGAAATGGAGGAGAAGGGGTTGTGACATGGTCACACCCCATTGGCAGTAATTCCTTCCTCTCTTTCTCTCTCTCTGGCAAGTGCCAAGTACTCTCTGGCAAATAAATAAATAAATAATAATCTTTATTTTTTTAAAATGAGATGAGGGCACACAGGAAGAATGAGATCATACTTCAAGAAAAATGCAAGGGTAACCTAAAAATGGAAGAAAATATTTCCAAATCATGTATCTGATAAGAGATTAATATCCAGAATATAAAAAGAATATAACCAAAAAAGCCAAACAACTAAATTTAAAAAGGAACAAAAGACTTGACTAAACATCTCTCCAAAAACTAGTCTTAAGCTCTGAAAAGATGTTCCACATCACTAATTTTTAGAAAAATGCAAATCTAGGGACCAGCAGTTGACATAATGGCTATATCGCTGGACTCCCATGTAGTCAACCACAGTTCGAGTCCCGGACCCAGTGGCTTAAACTCACGCCAGGCACATGTGCATGTGTGCCCAGGATACCAAGAGGAGAATAGAGGACAAGAGATTGCGGCGTGGTCATCCACCCCGGGGGTGATTTCTCACTTTCTGTCTCTCTCTGTCTTTCTGGTGAGC